TTTGGTGGTTCTCTTTAACACCATTGTTGGGCCTATGCTTTAACCCGGATTGTGTGCCCTAATTTTCTACTACTTCACGTAGATTTGGCTTCCCCAATACACTTCCTCTCGCCTTCTTTGATAAATACTCTCTCTTCTTCTCGGTTAAGCTCTCTCCTCTCCAGCCCACCCCTTGATACTCACTGTAAGCCATTGTAGAGTGACTCCGATGTATTACCTAGGCGTGAAATAGAGCTGGGTTGTGGAGGTCTCGTGTGAGGCTTAGGTCAGTGCGTTAGGGACGATTTCTTGGCTGCCTTCGGTAGACCTTTTCGGTTGATGACCTAAGCCGAGTGTGGGGGGTTCTTTACCGGTTCTCACCTCTCTCTGGAGGGCGATTGCAAGGCGTGGAAGGGCTATTCTTGAGCCTACATCTCAGCCAATAGAAGGAAGAAGAACGGCCAGAAGGAAGAAGAACGGCCAGAAGAAAGAAGGAAGCTGCACGGTTCTGAAGGGAAGTTCTTGTCCTTTTTGTGTTCTGTATATGCTCCATTATTTCTGGCTTTCGATTTCGATTTGTGCAGTCCACATATATTTGAAACCATTTACTAACTTGTATTGTACTCTGCTATGTTTGGTATATCATGTTAATGTTATTGGTACATGTTTGATACAAGCTGGTAATGCTGAATTTCTGGGATTGAGTTAGAACTATGTCAGTGGTTGAATGAGCCTAGAACTATATTATGCTGTGCATTGATGTAAAATTCCCAACAGGTCTGATAGTGTTAATATCTAATGAGTTTGTACCTACAGGTAACAACACCTATATCGAATTAGGTTCAGACTCTAGGTTGACTGTAAACAAGGTTACCTAATTATTTTCAGTTTTGTCTTCCTTGTTCGAGTCTGATTCTTTGTCCTCCTCTTCAATCCATATGATGATCATTGTTTTCTTAGACTAGGACTTCTTTAGTATGTCAGCACATTCATAAGCTATATATATATATATCCAAATCCTTCACATTCATGATATTGAATGCGATCAGTTGTCTCCATCTATATCCAAAGAATTTCTTTTTCTGTTGTAGTTGAGGCTTTGAATTTCTTCCTTTTTTTTTTTTTTATCCTTTTTCAAGAATTTCTTAAACTGTTTGGTAAGCATGGCCACATGTTCATTACTTTCACCTTCTTCATCCTCAACTTTTTCATCAACATTTTTATCTTTAAAAGCAATTTCAGATCCTTTTTCTTTCTTTCTCCTATAGAGATGCAACTAATAGGTCATCGAAGAACCTCTCAATTTTTCAACCTTCATGCTTTCAATATTTTTACTTTTCTCTATGGTAGTTAATTTGAAATGGAATCTATCAGGTAGTGATCTAAGAATATTCTTCACTATCTTGCTTTTCAAATAATTCTTTTCCCAAAGTATATGCCGAGTTGGTAATGTTAGCAGGTTTGGCATAAAAGTCCTTGAATTGTTCGCCATCTCTCAATGTCTATTGTTCAAACTTAAGGGTGAGAATTTGAAGCTAGGATGACTTAGTTCCTTCATGAGCAATTTGTAGTATATCCAAAGCTTCTTTGGCCACCTTTCATGCAGAGATTAAACAAAATTGGTTAGAATCTAAAAAAGAAAAATAATCCATTTAACGCTTTTGAATTCCAACTAGCATTGCTAAAATCTGTAGTCCCACATTCTTCAGCATTTCTCTCTGTCTCCCTTCCTCTCTCATTCTCTCTCTCTTTCTTATTGTTCATCTAGGAATTGACTATTGACATGTATTCTAATTTCCCAATAAGCGTAGTTAGTTTCGTCTAGGACAGGAGGTATTTTTTTTTTTTTTAATCAAAGTCATCAACACATCTTTAGTGAGTTTTTAGGCTCCACCAAGGAAGATCGATGCATGCTAGTGATAAGTGTATTTTGTACACTTATCTAGCCCATGAAATTAGAGTATTTGTTAGTGATTTGGATGAGTTATAACTTAATTTAGTATTAATTATGTTTCTTAGATTGAACTCAATGGAAATTGGTGGATTTGGAAGAAAGGAAGGAAAAAGTGCTAAAACAAAGGACATTCAAAGTTTGGGGACAAAAGTGTAAACATTTAATTGTTGATTCGGAGTACAAAACGATGATTGAAGATCATATATGATCAATTAGATGCAATTAGAGGTCAAAAGAGTGAAATATAGCGGAAGTATTTTCACAAATCAATTTTCAGTCGAAAAAGTTATGCTATGGATTTTTAGCCTCAACTTGAGACCCATTTTTTGGATAGCAAACGTTCGAATTGGAAAAATTGCAGAAGAATTGTAGCTCTTTGAATGACCTTTCCAACTCATTTTGAATAAGCTCAATCGAATATATGTAGAAAAACTTATGGTCAAAATACTGAAAATTGCTTAGAGACAAACCTGCGCGCGCGGGGGCAATTCATGGCTCGCACGTGGCACCCTATTTTCCCCAATCCGAGAGTCATTTGGTTCTACGGTGCGTGAGTAGGCCATTTCTACAGATGAATCTTTAATTTTTTTTCGCGATTCAAACTCTTTTGAAAATCAAATTAGACGCGATTTGACCTATTTTTTCGGCTCTTATAAATAGAGAATGAGGGCTATACATTGGGAAACCTCTCTTGCCTCTTCATACAGAATATTATCAACAAATTTATTAAGAACAAGAGGTTAGTTGCTATATTTTGAGAGAGAAGATCAAGCTATAGCAAGGAATTGAAGGTCAATTACATCAAGATTTTGAAGAATTCAACATTGAGTTTGAAGATCAATGTCTTTTGATTTATTTCATGATTTGGGTGATATTTTTTTATTATTCTTCTTATAATTTATATATTAACATGTTAGGCTAGATCCTCTTTTGTATTTGATGAAGATGAACTCTATTTGTTTATTTGTTTTAATTCAAGACTAGTTGTTATATTTATTTCTTATATTTCTTGATTAATTTTGTATACCCATTGCATTATTTNTTTTAATTCAAAACTAGTAGTTTAATTTACTTCTTGCGTTTCTTGATTAATTTTGCGTACCCATTGCATTATTTAATTGATTTCAACTAATTAGATAATTAGTTGCTTGTTATACTGTTGTGATACTAATAATAAGTTTAGAACACGAAAAAAATTAATATATCTGCAATAAATATTAGAAATAACATTTGTCACATGTACAATCATATAAATAATTTAATCTTTAATGCATTCTAATCATTCAAATTCGGGCTAGAAATAGATCTATGTCGTGGTTATGATAGATTTAATTTGTCTTAAAAAAGAAAATTATTTATCAAAATTTTATCGATTGCAAATAACGCGTGAACAGAATTAGATTACAAATCAAGAATTGAAATTGATAGCAATAGACGGATTCGAAATCCGATACAATCATCCATAAATTGATAAAAATCACATTTTTATAGTTTTCTTATATTAATTTAACATAAAA